CAGATGCGTCGGCCACGATTGAGGGCTTGGAGCGGTTCTTGTTTGAGGGAGGTGCTCTGTGGGTGGCAGGGTCGGAGCAGCTGCAGGAATTCCCTCCAGAGGCGGTGGAGGGTGGGCTGGAGCTGCTGGACTGCGCGGCCGCAGAGCCGCAGGCCGCCGCGCGGATGGCGCGCCGCCTGCTCGCGCTGTGCGAACAGCGCAGCGGTGCGGCGGCGGCGGCGGCCGGCGGCGATGGAAAGGGGACCGCGGCGAGGGGGGAAAGGGCGGGTGCGGCCGGGGGTGGCGGTGCAGTCAGCGCGCGGGCGGTGTTTGCAGGGGACCAACCGGCGCTACCGGCGGCGGATGCGGGCGTGTGCGCGGCGGCGGCTGGTGCGCTGGTGGCGGCTGGCGAGGTGGCCGAGGGCTTGGGGCTGTTCTGTCGCGCGGCTGAGATGGCGCAGGCTGTTGCAGGCGGCCCTGACGACAGTGGACGCTGCCACGGCGCCCGTGCGCCGCACGCGTCGCTGCAGGCGGCGGCGGCGCGTCTGGCGCAGCAGCTGCTGGCTGCCGGCCGCGCCGCCGCGCTGGCGCCGCTGCTGCGGCTGCTGTCTGGCGCGGGCGTTGAACGGCTGTTGTGCGCGGCCCTCCTGTCATGCCTGATTGACTCCCTGGTGAGGCCCTCGGCGCACTTATCGTCATCTGACTCTGTGCAAAGGAAGATGGGAGGATCAGCACACCTCATTATATTAGGGCTGAGGCGGCTGCATGCAGGTTTTGCTGAGTCGGGGCAAGTGGCGACTGCTTGAGTAGTGCGTGAGTCGGCGCCCGAGCACCCAGTGCTCTGCACCACCTTGGGGGATGAGCGATAGCTTTCAAGCCATGGTTTCTGCACAACTCCGCCTAGTCCACACCAGCCATCACTTTCCCCTTGCTTATGCTGTCAGGATGACATCAGCGCTGATGAAGCCATGGCGGTCGAGTTTGGGCGGCCCTTCTTGGACGCTCTGGAGCAGCTGGCTTACGGTGACGCAGGCCCCCTGGGCGCGGGCCAGGCCGGGGTGCTGCTGCCGCGCTCGCAGGTAGAAGTGGACTCTGCCGCGGCGCGCGAAGAGCTGCAGCGCGCTCTGGGGTGAACCTTGGCATGCGGCAGCGTGGGCGTGAGGTCTTGCCGCAGCTACGTGCAAGGCGAATTGTTTTGCAAACTTCCCTGGCGGGGCGTTGAGCCGCTCCTCAGGGATGTGCGATTGCTGTGTCGTCGGTGTGCAAATCCCCATCACATCCCCCTTGCACCCTTGTCAGCTTGTTGCTTCTCGTGTCCCTCTTGATACTTCCCCCCTTCAAATATGGATTTTAACCACTCTTTCAAAAGTAACATTGTTCTCCCGCTGCGTGAGCTGGCATTCAAGGTAAAGGCTTGCTGTGAGAGGCTTTCTCAAGTCAGGAGCATCACCACAGCTAGAAGGGTCCTGGCGTTATCCAACACCACCAAAGGCAAATGCATTATCTTGCCCTGCATAGCCCAGATGACTGGTATCACTGCGCCTGGCCGCCTCGGCACCTCCCAAAAGTTGTTGGGCCCCTGGCACACGGCTACAGTGCACGGACCCTGAACAATGTCGCAGCCCGCGCCGCTGAGGGTCACACACCTAAGAACGGCCCTGGCCGTCTTTGGCTTGCCGCCTTACTTCCGGCTGCTGGACTCTGTTGGCAGCCGCTGAGTGTTGCTGCTCCTTCCGCCCCTTTGTGCGCAGAGCAGACCGGCACGCACTTGGAGCCTTCATGCACGCCTGCTTTGAATGGCGCACGGCAGCCACCTGAATTTCAGTTCACACAACTGTGATGGTTTTGACCTCAGTTCCATGAGCCTGGATGGCTCCAGAAGCGAGCGACCACAGGACGCTAGCTGTAACAATCCTAACCCTTCCAATTGCTCTCGTGGGCTGCTGCGCAGCCGCACGTCATGCATGCCGACGCGGGAAGCATGTGATGTTGCGGCTTTGTTGCGTTACTTGCACGCAACTTGATCGGACCTGTTTGCTGCGCGGCTACCGCGCCGCCTGCCCATGCTTTGCAAGCAGGGGGCGCCGCTGCGGTTGTGGCCGGTGGCGGCGAGAAGAGGGCCGCAGCAAGCAAGGGGGGTCAGGGCATGCGCAGCCGGGGGCGGCAGCGAGGCAAACGCGTGAGCTGTGGTTGCGGGGATGAACCGGCGCTGCTGGCAGCGGACGCAGGCGTGTGAGTGGCAATAGCTCTCGCGCTGGTGGCGGCTGGCAAGCCGCCTGGCGGTCTTGGGGCTGTCCTGTCGCGCAACTGAGATGGTGCAGGCGAGCGCGGCCAGTCCTGGCGGCAGCGGACACGCAATATCACAGTGCCTGCGCGCACGCGTCATTGTGGTTGGCGGCAGCGGTCTGGCGCAAGAGCTTCTGACAGCCGGCCTCGCGGCCGCGCTGGCGCCGCTGCTGCGGTTGCTGTCCACCGCCGGCGTTGACCGACTGTCGTGCGCGGCGCTCCTGTCGTGTCCGACACGACAGAGTCTGATGGATGCGCGCCGCAGCACGCAGACTGCAAACGAATCAGTGCTGCTCTGGCTTGCTCCTGTGTGCAATGCCAAAAAACGTGACGATATGGCGCACCCAACCACGCCCCTCCGCTTTCCCTGATCCCTCTGGGTATGCAAAGCTGGAACCTCTGATGCTGCCGTAAGGCCACACGCCTTCCTCAAGACCAGCCGCTGTGCCATTCGCTACAGCTGCAGCATCGGCTCCATCCGATGAGAGTCTGTTCCACTTCCTCACTATCTGCCTCCTCATGCTCATGCTGCGGCCGCTGCCGCCGCTGCCGCCGCTGCCGCCGCTGCCGCCGCTGCCGCCGCTGCCGCCGCTGCCGCCGCTGCCGCCGCTGCCGCCGCTGCCGCCGCTGCCGCCGCTGCC